TTTATAGACTGGGTGCGTGATATGCAAACATACAAGTTCAAAAGATATTGCATTCCACTGTAGAGTAGATTTTCCAATAAATTTTCACTATGCAGCAAGTTAATCTACAAATCCCTAAACTGAAAAAACTATGACAGGATGTAATGGAAAGTTAAGGCAGGAAAACAAGAGATGTTATGAATATTTAAATCTAACATTTGCAGCAAAACAGACAAAAAGAATTAGAGCAACCACTGACCTTTTCAGCACCAGTTGCATCATCAATGACACAATTCTCCCTCAGGCATAGCCACATAGCATCCAAATCATCAGCATTCAGCAGAAGATCTGTTTGTTTCTGACCAAGAATACTACAATGTCAATCATAATTTGTCAAGAATCAAATCCAACCACTGCACAAATTGGTCAAGGAACTGCGGATCCACAACCATAGGATGAAGTTGTTACAAATCAGCAGATAAAACTATTGCTGCACAGAGCTGAAACTATGGAACCGCAATATGACAATCAATAGACACCCTTTCACCACCAGCTACTCAGAATTATGAATGTGGATGCTCAATGTGAAGGATTTTATATTAAGAAAATCAATAAGAGTAGACAAATCAGCGCCAATACCTTTAGAAAACGATATTTTGCTAGCCTCTGGACTCTATGACTGATGGATCCTTCTTCAGGTTTCTGAATATTAAAAAACAGAAGCATGAGTTGAAGAGAAAATTCAGCAAATTACGTACGAGAAGGATCAGAAAATATATCTATGGAAAAGTAGAGCAAAATAAATATTCTCTCCATAGATGCTAAAGGTATCTTAACAAGACATAAAATAAATATCCGCTAATTTTTACATATTGATTGATAACCAGATTTATCGAAAGATACTGTTTTCTATTAAAAAAAAAAAAATCATTTCCAAATAAAAAGAATAATTATATACCTTTTTGTAGAAACTAGGAATCGTGCCTGCTTCAGAGCTCTTTTGTTGCTTCTCTTTAAACATGTCTAATAAAATTCTTTTTGTTTCTAGCTCTGAAGGGATGACAAAGATTAAGTCAGAAACTTCTCTGCTTGCAGTAAGTTTAAGCAGGAATCCATAAAAATTGCAAATACAAGCACATTTTATGGCTATGAAGTCCCAAATCATCCAATCCAGAAGCAGTCTTAGAAATTCCCATGAGCGAGATATAAGCATGCATTGCATAGTGCAACAGCAATGGTAGTTCTTCGTAACCTCAATGGCTAGTATTCTGTGATACAACACATTGCAACAACAAACTAATGTACATTCCAAATACATTTAGAGTCGACCATATGAATCCTTTTTCATCACGGCTTTCTATTCATTGTTACCTATCCAAGTAATTAGTCCTTAACAATTGCCCATGTTAGTTTTGTTTTACCCCTCCTTTTAACTCGTTTTACTGAAATTGCAACTCTTATGACTGACCCTCTTTAGGTCTACACAAAACATGTCCCACCCACCTTAATTGTCCTACACTTAGGTTATCCTCATTCAATATACCTCCACTTATTAAAATATAATCTCATGTATGACCTTTTTTATTCTTGTATGCTCACATATCCATCTTAGCATCCTTATTGTCCCCTTCCTTTCTCTATTCTGCCTCCTTCTTTGCTCTGTTTGAATTGTCTAAGGCAAAGTGCTGCACATGCCTACTTTACTTACTCGACAAAAGGGAACAAATTTCTTCTTTATTATTTTTTTGGAGTCCCGCTATGTTTTGTTCTTTAACAGCCCGGCACTAAGTACATAAAGTGTAGCAAATCTAACAATTGGTAAATGGAACTGAACTTATGAGGATCATCCCACAACACGAAATTTCTCTAGACTACTACCTACTATAATCCTATGCATCAGATACAATTCAATTCTTCAACCCAAATAGCTAAAACAAACACTTTTAAAGACAAGCACAATCGTCTATAGCAGTTCAATTTTCATCCTTATTACCACTAATACTAAGCCACCGTTTGCTAAAACTCATTTTTCAACCAAACGTTCTCTCAATAATTTTGCATGTAAGATCCATAATTCTTCCCTACTTTTTAACCATACAATCTCCAAAAAAAAAAAAAAAAAAAACTATACCCACAAAAAATTTTAACAAAAAATCTCTACCAAAAAGAGGCTTAAAATGCATGCTGTGTCTTATCACCACAAAAGTGAGCATTTGTAGATGCAATTTGGGCCATAGATAGAGTCACCTACAAAAGGGCACTGAACTAAAGTAGGGGAGCAAGTGCCCATAACTGGCCTGCCCCTAAACCATCTCAAAGGCCAGTTTTGTAGGGTTTCTGGACCATTGTACTGTTGACCGTACTTATCCAAGTACATGAATATTGCAAGTGCCTTTTATCGAGTTTGGGGTTCGATTTGTCAAGAATAACAGTCCAAACTTGTATATTGAAGAATGTTCTCATATTCAACTGTCGAATTTTATCCTTAAGATACACACACTCTATTGATATGATGCATCGACTCTGTGAGCGTGTGTCACACTTTGACATGAAGTTTCATTTGAGGTTTTTTGCACCAATATGGTTCATAAACAACTTAGAGTACAATTTTTTGTACCCTTCAACTTTAACTATGGATAAGGAAAAGTATTCTTTGAAGTTGATGTGATTATATATTATGTTCTTATTACGTCGATCCAATTACTGGCCTATGTATATGCTAGAATTACCAGTAATACATCCTAGAACACATAATTGAGAAAGGACAGAGATCAATGGATGAAAAATATCGATGCAACAAGTCCTTTACGAATGCAACAGTATGTCGTATATTACTCTTATTCGACTACTGAAAAACAGAAATGAAAATACATTACAGAGACTGCAAAAAGAATAATGTGACTTTTACACAAGTATACTAAGATAATTAGACAAAGACGATCAAAGCAGGTGCTTCGTGTAAAGTGATAAAGGACTGAATTTTCTTCCCCACTTATTCTATAACGTACAGCCCCATATTTATACAAAGTCCGTAAGCACAGCACTTGGGTTCTATGGAAAGAAAATAAGCAGCCTGATTACGTACAACACGAAATTTCTCTAGACTAATCCATATCATCCTACCTACTATAATCCTATGCATCAGATACAATTCAATTCTTCAACCTAAATATCTAAAACAAACACTTTTAAAGACAAGCACAATCGTCTATAGCAGTTCAGTTTTCATCCTTCTTACCACTAATACTAAGCCACTGTTTGCTAAAACTCATTTTTCCCAAAACTCATTTTCAACCAAATGTTCTCTCAATAATTTTGCATGTAAGATCCATAATTCTTCCCTACTTTTTAACCACACAATCTCAAAAAAAAAATATTCATTTCCCTCAAAATCTATTCTCAAAAAAATCTCTACCAAATAGAGGCTTAAAGTAACATTGTACACTCTGGCCCTTCTTGCAATCAATCAAAAGCGTGTATAAGCACACACATATAACAATTACAACTAGCAATGGGGAATTTGGAGGAAATTACAGACCCATTAAGGATTCGGATCCAAGCCCGGCACCGGATCCGATGTACCGGCGGAGGTTTCGGACCCACATCATGGAAGAGACTGGAGGGATTTTCTTCGGAGCAGATGAATCGTGCCCTTCGCCATCACTCGATCCACTATACATATCTCCACTTCCAATTCAAAAACAATTGGAGAAAAATTTCAAAGCAAAAAATAATTCACATGCGGGTCGCATTACATTCTACTCGGAGCTCCGAAAACCCAATTGATATAATGCGAAGACAAAATTCTCGCAGAATTGAAAGGCTCTGTAAACTGTAAAGGTCACTTTCTTGTTTCTGCACTCTCACCCGTCTGGACCGAACGGTATTGCAATAGATTAATTTCACGGATAATTATAGGTGAGGTTCCAAATTTTTTAAAAATGTACAAATTAATGCTCGAACATTTAAATAGTAGTGATGGAGGTCCCAAACCTTTTAAAATTGGAGAAATGCTTGAGTTATAGTCTTTTTTGTGGGTTCCACACCATGTGAGAGGACTGTGTAAGTTGCTATGTACAAAGACTGTACATTTAGCATTTCTCTTAAAATTGTGCTTCTCGGTCAACAAAAGAAATTGTAGCTCCTAATCCGACAATTCGCTACCGAGACAAAATTTCCGCGGATCCACTGGGTTGCTTCTTTTTCGACGCCTACGCTATATGACAAAAGGATTAGCCCTACAGAGGCACGTCAATTGATCAAAAGTCATCATTTCGTTATAATTTGATTAATTTTAAAAAAGGATAAGATACCATTTTAACCTTTAACCTTTAATTAAAAAATGGAAATTAATAATCCAAGGATAAGATTGACTTGATACAATCCGTCGAATTGAATGCAACTCAACGTGCTAAAATTGTTATAAAAATGAGAAAAGTTAATTACTCAAGAGATCTGCTACAGGAACGGTGGGGATGACCGCGTCAGTGACCGCACATACACATGGGGGGTTGGGATTATTTTATTCGGATGGGACCCGCGCCTCAGTTGTGAGGGTGCGGTCATCCATGCGATTCGTCTAGCATTTTTCATTACTCAAATATATAGTCCTTTTTTAAAGATACTCTTAAGAAATTCGTTTACTACAATAAATTAGATGAGCTTTTTACGTGATCAAATTAAAAAGAGATAAATTTTAACGAAACTTATGATTTCGTTCTCCTCGTACTTGTTGGATCGAACGTACTCAACACGCTGAACGTGCTATAAAAATTGCGAAAGGATTTTAATTAATCAAACATGAAGTTTATTAACTAATCAAAAGCATAAGCAGCTTCACCAAAAAAAGCTGCTTATTTTACAGGCACACATTATTTGCTAGTTAGTATGGTTAGGAAAACTTCAACTCTAAAACTACACTCTAATCCGACTTCTTACTACCATCAAATTAATGCAAGAAAAGTGCATTAATTAATTATTATTAGTGCCGGATATTTAAAAAAGAAAAAGTGCAATAATTTTTAAACCCATAAAGCACCAGCCTCTTGGAGCATTGACTTCAATTTTCTCTTGAGATGAAGACTCATGACCTCATTAGCTCCACCAACAAATTGGCCGCCGATAAACACCGCCGGAACGGTCGGGTTGCAGCCAAGCCTCGACAGAGCTGCCTCGATTTCCCGGCCTCTCGGCATCTCGTCCAGCTCGTAAACTGCCGGGTTTACGCCGAAATCGAAGAAGAGAGACTTAATGGTGTGGCTCATGCAACATGAACTTTTGCTGAAGATCACCACTGGCTTTTCTGACACAATATTGCTCACGTCCATTTATGCAACACAAACGTACTTACAAAAAAGTTAGAATATAGCTTATTTCTGCTTAAGAAATCTAGGAGAGTACTTTGGTTTTGCTGTGAGGAAAATGGAAGCTGCATGGGATCTCTTATTTCATTTTGATAATTTCTTATACATATCTGATACCCAAATTAGTGCAGTGTGCGGAGAAATTGAGAATTTTTGCGCCATTCTTTCGTCTGTTTTTCCCCATTCTTCCATCTTCTCTGTTTTCTAGAGCTTTGAGTTTTTGAAATTTGAAGGGTTAGTGAGCTGTTGAGTCTGGGCTGTGGGTTTTATTTAAAAAAAAAAAAAGAGGGAAAAAAATTAGGTCTCCTTAAAATTTGGGTTTGGGGCAGAGGCACACCTAAGCGAATATTAAGCGATCAATATTGTCGTTGACCGCTTAATTCCCACTTAGGCTCAAGGCGAAAGAGCGCCTATGCGTCACCTAGAAACGTCGAGGGGAGCATTAAGCGGTCAACATTGTCGTTAACCGCTTGATTCCAGCTTAGGCTCAAGGCGAAGTGTTTTCATTACGCTTCCCGTCTAGACGCGCTTTTTAGAACACTGATCAAAAGTCATCATTTCGTTATAATTTGATTAATTTTTAAAAAGGATAAGATAACATTTTAACCCTTAATTAAAAAATGGAAATTTACATCGAATATCTCATATCTTTCAATTATATGCAGCGAATGCATCACATGAACTTTTAACGATTTTCATCTGAAAATTTGTTAGTTGACAAAAATATGCTCCTTCCTCGATCTACACCACCACCCAACCCAACTCCTAACCCCTAAACCAACCAATCCCACCCATTGGTAGGTGGAAGAGCCTCTGCCGTCGTCACTACTATTGATTTGGAAAAGGATAAATATCTATCTTTATTTATTTATTCCCAAATCTTTAAAAGGTTCTTAAGATGGGTTATCTATGAAAAGACCATTATGCCCTCATAAATTAGTCAAATGTTGGTCAATGGGTGATTTCCGAGTGAACTGACAGATTTTTGGACACAAACTGTAGGAGGTGAACTTTGCATATTAATTTAAAGGCTCGGGACTTGACCTCAAAATCAAATGGTTTTGGACTTCTAAGAGCATGTTTGGTATTGTAAATTAAATTACTTAAATACAATCAAAGAAAAGAAAATTTTGAGAAAATTTGCGATCGACTTGATATATTTAGATTCGTCGAATGAATGTCCTCACAAACGTATTAAACTTTCGCTCAAAATGGAGAAATTATCCAAATAAATAGTCTTTTGAATTCTATTCGAGATTTGTTATACAATAAACATTCTTTAAGAGCATTTTTGGTATGTTAAATTAGACAAGATTGACTTGCTACGATCTGTCGAATTGAATGCTAAAATTGTTAAAAATTTGAGAAAATGAAGTTAATTACTCAAATATATAGTCTTTAATTTTCTTCGAGACAAGATGTTAAAGATACTCTTAAGAAATACGTTTACTACAATAAATTAGATGTGCTTTTAACGTGATCAAATTAAAAAGAGATAAATTTGATCGAAACTTATGATTTCGTTCTCCTCGTACTTGTTGGATCGAACATACTCAACACGCTGAATGTGCTATAAAAATCTCAAAAGGATTTTAATTAATCAAACATGAAGTTTATTAACTAATCAAAAGCATAAGCAGCTTCACCAAAAAAAAGCTGCTTATTTTACAGGCACACATTATTTGCTAGTTAGTATGGTTAGGAGAACTTCAACTCTAAAACTACACTCTAATCCGACTTCTTACTGCCATCAAATTAATGCAAGAAAAATGCATTAATTAATTATTATTAGTGCCGGATATTTTTTTTAAAAAAAAAGTGCAATAATTTTTAAACCTATAAAGCACCAGCCTCTTTGAGCATTGACTTCAATTTTCTCTTTTGATGAAGACTCAGGACCTCATTAGCTCCACCAACAAATTGGCAGCCGATAAACACCGCCGGGACCGTGGGGTTGCAGCCAAGCCTCGACAGAGCTGCCTCGATTTCCCGGCCTCTCGGCATCTCGTCCAGCTCGTAAACTGCCGGGTTTACGCCGAAATCGAAGAAGAGAGACTTAATGGTGTGGCTTATGCAACATGAACTCTTGCTGAAGATCACCACTGGCTTTTCTGACACAATATTGGTCACCTCCATTGATGCAACACAAACGTGCTTACAAAAAAGTTAGAATATAGCTTATTTCTGCTTAAGAAATCTAGGAGAGTACTTTGGTTTTGCAGTGAGGAAAATGGAAGCTGCATGGGGACATTTATATAGAATTTTCGTAGGGTGGGGTGTGGTAGGGTAGGGGTGGGTTTTTATCTGGCAAAGGCAAGGATAACTTTGGATTCGAAGGAATTGAAAGATTGTTCAGATAAGATTATTTTGAATTTGAATTTTTTTTAGTAAGATTTGATGTTTGATTGATAGGAATTGATGTGTCTCACCACAAAAATTGCATAATAACGAATCTCTGCATACGAATATTGTCCCACACACGAATCTCTGCACATTTATATAATAAAATATGTTGCATGTAAACTCGAATTTTTTTTTTTTCAACTTCTTATTCTCCTAAAAATCACTATTTAAAACATTATTTTCAAGAAAATATGGCCATCAAACAGGGGCTGAGTGATTATGACAATGTTTGATACCGATAAAATCTAAATCAAAGTCCACAATTAATTTTAACCACATATTTTATGGGTTTCACAATTTTTCAACAACATATTTCATCAATTTTTATCAAAATTTACTAAAAAATTAATTTTAATTCTCGACACACGGGAGCTATATGAAAAAAAATTAATTATTCAGATTTTTGTCCAAGTCTTTCGCTCCTAGTACATTAATGCAGCTCTCTTATGGAATGCTGGTTGTTATTCTTGTCTTCGCCTTCTCCTATGTAACGAAAATAATTTATAATCTTGCTTCTTTCGTTATTTCTTCCTTGATTATTCAGAATTAGGTCGATTCTAGTCATTTGGTTGTTGTGTCATTTGTGCACGATGATACTTATCCATTTATTTCGGTTTAGCCTAAAGAAAAATTACTTCCTTGAGGTCATTTTTCCGCAAACAACTTGTCTCATTTGATTTTTATAAAATGATCGGTTGCAGGTTCGAATCTATTTGAGAAGAAGTTTGATCGTTTTTCAGACATTCATAGTAACATTTGAATTTTGCTAAGGCAATTTAAAATAATTGAGAAGATCAAAATGCGATCCAAATAACTTTGTGATGTATCTTTTTAGGAAGAATCTTGTGAGTTGGAGAGGGAAATTGGATCTATCCAATTCGGACCTCTTTTCTCCATGACAAGATTCGTGGCATCTAGTTCCAAATGAAAATGGAGAGCCACAAACAACAATAGGATAGCATTTTGTAATCACATGGCTTACACGTGCTAATAAAAAGGGTTTTTCTTTTCTTTTTTTGGTAGTTGTTCGCTTATCCTATGTTTGGTATAGCTTAAAAAGTAGATAAGAATTTAAGTCGAAGTCAACAATTAATTTTAACCTCACATTTTATGGAATTCACAACTGTTCTACCACATATTTTATCAACTTTTATCAAAATTTATTAAAAATTGATTTTTCGCTACATCAAACAATGGCCAATGGCTGAAGCTTGAAAAATAAAAGAGAAGTGAGATGACGAGCCCAACACAACGCCTTTTGTAATTTTCTAATATGTTATCTTTTAATTGAACTATCGAGTAAAACTTTAATAGCAAACTAATCATTCTCAATGTCAAATCCTCTCTTGTGAGCGTTTATCTTGTTACGTAACTTTTAATTATTTGTTCTTTTTTTATTTCCTAAAGAAAATGGTAATTGGTTTTTAAATTTGTTCGTGCAATAGCTAATAAAGTTATTGTCATTTTAAGGTCTTACGTATGAAGAATGTTGCAAATATCATAAATTAATGAGGTCCCCATAGAACATTATCCTCTTGGCCTTTTGCCATGTATATTTGGCATTATTATGAGGTATATATACACATATTGCCGACACACATAAACAACATCGTTTCATTACAATGTTTTTGAAAAGTTCAAAGTTGCTTATAAAACTAAGAATATACTTTTGAATATATTTGAATAATTTTTTTAGAGGAATCTGGTTTAAGATAACTATTACAAGAAGTTTTTCTAAAAGAAGTAAATTTTTTACAAAAACAGACTGTTCGTTGTTTAATATGCTTGTATTATAATCCAAGAGAAGATAAAGGATTTAAATTCATCTAATAAATGCAACAAAAGTGTAAATGTACTGGGAATCCCATTCTCCCACGTTAGAATCACATGTTGTTGGGGCTTCCTTTTGAGGTGAAGGTTTTCAAGTTTTCTATGTGCTACAAGATGAAATTTAAGATATTCTTATAAAAGACCCTTTTCTAATTTTTTTTTTTTTTTAAAATACAACTCATTAGGTGTCAAGTAGTACACTCGATGGAGAGTAGACCCCAAAAAAAAAAAAAAAGAAGAGTGGCATTCTTTTCTCATTGATCCTAATGAAATGGCCTTCAATGCATGCTGTGTCTTATCACCACAAAAGTGAGCATTTGTAGATGCAATTTGGGCCATAGATAGAGTCACCTACAAAAGGGCACTGAACTAAAGTAGGGGAGCAAGTGCCCATAACTGGCCTGCCCCTAAACCATCTCAAAGGCCAGTTTTGTAGGGTTTCTGGACCATTGTACTGCTGACCGTACTTATCCAAGTACATGAATATTGCAAGTGCCTTTTATCGAGTTTGGGGTTTGATTTGTTAAGAATAACAGTCCAAACTTGTATATTGAAGAATGTTCTCACATTCAATTGTCGAATTTTATCCTTAAGATACACACACACACTGCTGATATGATGCGTCGACTCTATGTGAGCGTGTGTGTCACACTTTGACATGAAGTTTCATCTGAGGTTTTTTGCACTAATGTGGTTCATAAACAACTTAAAGTACGATTTTTTGTACCCTT